TCCGTGCTCCTATGGGGTAGTGATGAGGTCATCTGGGCAAACATCTCAGCCTTAGCAGAAAGGGGAACCTGGGTAGTTTTCAGAAATTACCCAGTTTGCTGTACTGAGACAAGCTGAGAACTTACTTGCAGACAGTTTAGGAAGCTTTAGGATTGCGAAGAGGCCTGTCTAGGTCGTCAGTGTCCCAAATAAGCAGTCTTATCATTAACATTGAGGGCTTGAGCTGGCAGATTCCTGTATGACCCAGAATGAACAAATTACAACCTGCTGTGTAAGTGCTGCAACTACATTTGTGGTGCCATTTTGGAGCTTCTTATGGTTTTCCACAGATAATGAATTCAGAGGACGACCAGAGACTAGGACTGTACCCCTGATTCGGAACTTCTGATCTAATTGGGATCACCATCTGCAACATTGGGATCGAATACATATGATATTAAAAGCATCGTGTCTTGTTCTAGTTTACATCTGTTGTATTGTTTTTGCTTTGCCTCTGGCTAAAGGTAACTGAAGGCACATGTATACTGTCTGTAAAATTCTTGCCAATAAACCTTGCAAAAACATGGACAAATTCACAGTAACCTTCTAGATACTTAAGGTTATAAATAGGTATTTTATACTAATCTAAGATCAGTTTCCACTCTCCTGGTCCTGACTGGACATTCCTGCAAGTTAAAATGAACAAATAGCAAAAGGTTTCTGCAGTAAACTCCTGTCTTCCATTTTGTTTGGGCATTATGCATGGGTGTGGTTTGGTATCTGTAGGATTAATGTAAAATCTTTGTCTAATTACCTTAGTATAAACATTTTCTCAGTTTTCCGAATGACAGCAGCTGACGTGGGACTTGCAGATTTTAATCTCTGGAATACCTCATTTCAGAGCATGTTCTAGGGCATCAAGTGTGTGCTGCCCTTGAGCAAGCCTAGAGTGCACTTTGAGCTCATGGTTATAAAGGATTTGTAAGACCTCCCACTGGAGGTCCTCCCTGCCTGTCTTAATGTCTGCCTGCCTTTCTCACACAGTGTCTGGCTGTCTCCATTCCTACCTACGTCTCTGCCTGCGTAAGTGGCCTCACGGTTGAAGAAACCTGAGGAATTTTATCTCACCCACACAGAGATGCTGGTAGCTCTTGTTGGAACAGGTGAGCGACACCAAGTCTCCTGGATCGACATTCAGTCTGCACTTGTGTTGCTCAGATAGTGGCCTGATCAGATGTCTGTGCCATAGACTGTTCACCTCAAAAGGCCCTTTTCTTCGGTTTCCTACAGATTCAAGGGAGTCTGAAGTTGTTCTTTATTCAGGCCTCTGTGCAATCGAACATTTGCGATGTGTTTTTGTACATGAGAGAAGATATAAGTATGAGTTTATTCACTGACCCAGTGGCCCTGAAAGGGAACATTTATGTAAGGCTGCTGTCTGTGACATAATGGTATCACCTCTGAAGGGAAACACTGTTGCTCAGTTACCTTCGTTATGGGATGTCCGTACTAGCAGGTGTGATGTAACTACTGCAAAGGGTAACTGGGTCACTGTGTTCGTTAACATGGAGGTCAAATCTTAATCTCTCTTAATTACTGTCCCCAGTTGCGAAAAGACATGGGCACATGCAGAGCTGGTTGCACCACACCAGAGAGGCTGTAGCCCATCAGTATGATGACATGCCAGTGCCTATGGCATACAAACCATTATTATTATTAAGTGACACGTTGCAATGCTGCGATTAAAAAAAATTAACCACGGGCAAGGGGTCAATAAAGTAAAGTTTACATAAATTTTGGCATGGACATTTGCATGAACAACATGACACATTTTCACCATGGGTTGCGGACTCACTATTGTTTTCCCAGAGGGACAAAATGCAGAAGCGTCCTCATTGTCCCTTTTGCATGGTTCTTGATGCACTGGATAGTGCCGCAGCAACTTCCATCTGTTATGAAACTGCCCCATGCTGGACAGTGCTATCTTTTTACATAAGCCTACTTCTGAGCCACATCAAGAGTGTCCTCATTGGTGATAATATTCCCGGAAATGTGTCCCAGTTGAAAGTTATGGTCGCACCATGCAAGCAAAAAATTAAGATTAAAATAGATGAAAAGCTTAAACTTAAAAAACTTTTGAACTGAAATAGATATGTTCAAGTTGAAGTACCAAAATTATAAAAATGAAATAAAAATGATTTAAATCTGTATAAATAATAAAACAAACTGATAAAATGACAAAAACTAATTTAAAAATATTAATAAATACTATAATATGATATAAATAATATTGAAATACTGACTGCAAAGATTTGAATTTGAGATTTTTTTTAAACCTGCCCTATTCAACTGCTTTGCTCACGTGAGGATTAGACTTACTAACACCTGTGCATTGTATTGATGTCACCATTCACACCATTACATGGCCTAGTCCTGCTCATCTCTGTTTTAACCTGTAAAATATTCATACTATTGCAACTCTGTGAAGCTCCTCCATTTTTTTCCCTGACTCATAACACACACTTTACAACCTTGAGTTCCCACAGACGCTTTCGTGAATTAATTAGACGGTAAATTACAGGTTGGCTCCTGTCGTCACTGAAGGAAGAATCTTAAACCGCCCAACGCTCTGTCCAATTCCTACTACGCTAATGTTAGATGTGTATTTATGTTTATACGCCACAATCATGACAAGATCCAGGATGTTTAAAAAAGGTCAAACAACAGTGGCCCTCTCAAATTAGTTCTCGTGGGTGTGGCACATTTGAAGGTTAGAGGATTTAAATTGTGGTTTCGTATACTTAAGGTATGTTTGGATGGGCTTGAATATGTGTGTGGCAAATGAGTATCAGATGATGTGCTTTTGAAGCAATGAGAGTGCTGAGAAGTTATTTGCTTTACTCAGAGTGGGAGTGAGTGTTTGTGTGTGCGTAACTGTGTATTTTTGTGCATTTTGTAGCATGGGTGTGTGGGAGGATATAATATATGGTCGATACAAGTGAACCTACACAGACGTTGTTATGAACATAAAGTTTCACACAGATTTTATTCTCGTGAGCGTGTGAAGGTTTTGTTTGTTGACAATGTTAAAAGGGTCTATGTGTGAGGTGCATATGCCATCATGCATTTTTGTATGTGTGTTTGTGCAAATGGTGGGAGCAAATCTGTCTGAAAGTGAGTGACAGAGATAGACAGTCTAGACTCACTCTGCCTGCTGTTTCTCTCACTTTCTCAGTGTTTTATAGTAGGGGGAAGGGACCCCAGCAAAGCTGTCGTCCCACACATAAATTTGGTATCACGTATATGTTTCGTTTGAAGTTGTTTTTCTTTGAGGCCTTAAGGGGAAACCACAAAACAAAGGCAGCAGCAACAAGCTGTCTGGATCACTGTGTACTCTGTCTAATTTAACCAAGTAATAACTGAGGTGTCTGGATATTTTTCCTGTTCTTTGCTTTTCAAAAATTATGCAAAGTGCAGACACAGAACCCATACGTTTTTCAACGGTGGTTTCAAGACCTTTGTGGTGGCACTGCTCAGGGAGTGAAACGGCTGTTGAAAAGCTGGTAAAATAAGTAAAGCAGTTCGCACATTCATGGTGGAAGACAGCAAATGAAATGGAACTAAAATGCATGCTGTATCTGACATGTGGGCCCTTTTGTGCACAAAGAAAGAGGGCGTTGGTACCACATCTACTCGCCTTACATGAAACTCTGAGGAAACCGCACCGAGATATATGGTACCATCTGGCTTTGGGTAGATTTGTGTCAAAGCCCACTTTTATTGCCTGAAGGGGAAGGGGTAGGGTATAATTTCCCATGCTTTTGGCTCATTGCTAGTTTCATGTTTGAGTACAAGTTGGGGCAGGGTACCAGAGTAGAGACTGTTAACCTGCCTAATTAAACTTGCTGTCTGGCTTTGCAACATGTGGCGGTAATGGGGGGGAAGAAAAAATACTCTGCTAGGCCGTTTCGAGATGTGTGCCAGTTCCACATAAACCAGCGAGTATGTGTTTGTGTGTCCATCAGTTATCTCAATAATGAGTCAGTAAATCCCATAAGCCTCTTTGGAGCAGTCAAAATGATACATGTCCCCCATGTATTCTCATGATTCTCCAATTAGCATGACGCAATGCTTACTGGACTGGAACATATGGTTCATTTTTAATGCAGTGCATTCCTGGTTTAATGTGTGGGCTTTTCACTTAGCTTAGCGATTGTAAAAGGAAAAAAATTAAGTTTTTTGGAGACTTTTGCTTCTATAGGAGAGGATTAGCACACTCTCACGAGCCGCTTCTAAATAGTTGTGCCACATCAGGTCTTTCACGTCTGTTTAAAGACTGTTCATTTGGGGATTTAAAAGCCATCCGTGGAAGGTAAACCCCTGCATGACCTGGACCTGAATGGTCTGGGTCATTCACCGTTGTTTTTAGTGTGAACTGATCTCGATTCTGTGGTGGTTTAGCTGTTCTAGTGTGTGAACTTGGGTTGTATGGGACCTGTATGGCTTTTGTGCTCTGTTCTAGGTTTGGCTTTTCTTCAGTGAATGCTACACGTTAGCATACCAAGAGAAAACACAAAACTGCTTCAACATCAGTGTAAAAGAGCATATTATACCAACGAGGCATGTCGGCACGGGCTTAACGGGGGCCATGTAGAAAAAAAAAAAGGCCCCAGTAGGACTTTCTTTCTTGAAAGAGTTCATTGTCCACATAAGGACTGAAAAAAAGAAATAGGTTCACATCAGTTGGCACCGCTGGCCCTATTTATCGCTGTTAGCGACGCGTGGTGGTGTTTATGATGTGGCCTCCTTAACACCTTGTTTTTTACTTTTTCAAAAACAAATTCAAAGCAAAGTCTCAACAATCACATTTTCTGAAGCACAGCTGAAACTTATTTGTAGATGCTTGTATATCTTTACTGATTCTTCTGTTTTGAAAGTATCACATATGTCTGACTGATCATGAATGTATGTAATAACTCTAACAGCTGTGTGCTCTGCTTGCTTTTTTGTGTTTGTCACAGGAGAACGCCCCTTTCCTTGCACCTGGCCCGACTGCAGTAAGAAGTTTGCTCGCTCTGATGAGCTGGCACGGCACTATCGCACCCACACGGGCGAGAAGAAGTTCGGCTGCCCCCTCTGTGACAAGCGATTCATGCGGAGCGACCACCTGATGAAACATGCACGCCGTCACTCCGACTTCCAGCCGGCCATGCTGAAGAGGCAGCATGGTGGTGGCAACGCCACCGTTTCGGGCAGCATGCGTCCCGGCTCCCTCAGCGATTACAGTCGATCCGATGCCTCAAGCCCCACCCTTAGCCCCGCCCTCAGCCCAGCCAACTCGCCTTAACCTGGCCGCACTTTCTGCCCACAGCGCCTGGGTCTCCAGGCTGATTTTTTTCTTCTCTATCCATTGTTTTTCTTTCCCCCAAAAAATAACCGGCGTAATAAGCGCCCATGCTAAACCCCGTCGCTTGCTGTGGTGTACTGTACTGTACATAACTGCTTCTTGTAGTGCAATTTTCTTGTGCAACCCCTAAAAGAGAAAAAAACACAAAAAAGAAAATGCCTTTTCCACATGGCAATATTTACATGATGTACCATATGTCTGTATTTTTATAGCTTCTGGCCACAGCCTCTTTCCATTATGTTTTTTTTTTTTTTGTTGCTGATTCTTTCATATACAACCGCTCTGTTTAAGTGAACTAAAAAGTTGAAAGGTTTGACAGGTAAAGATGTTTCTTTTTTATTTAAAACGGGTGAGGGAGAGGGGCACACACACACCTCAGGATTCAGAACAGTTTTTTTCTCCTTTAATACTCACATTGACTGCACAATACAAGCATCACTTTACTCCGAAATTCAACAGAGGTTGAATTTTGCGCCCTGCTCAGGGATGGCCTCGTTAGCTTGAAAGAATGAACATGATGAAGATAAACATACATTAAGAAACAGCCTTACACTTGGACAAAAGGAACTTTTGCACTCTTTTTTTTTGTTTGTTGAGTTGGTTGGTTTTCACATCAGGGGAAGCAAATTCTGGGTTTTAACAGTCATTCATACTCTTTAATGTTTGTAAATCAGTCTTTTAAAGAGAGTGGCAGAACCTCTCAGCAGATACGAAGGGTTGGGGGGTAATTCTGTCTTGAGACTGGAAATGACTTTATTTTCAACATCTCTAACTCCCGATAACCCTGTACTCACAAAGAGCTGTGCTGTTTCAAAGGGAATCCTCTCAATATAGCATGAATGTCGTGATCAATCCACTTTTACATGCTTGAGCCACCCAAGGAAGAGAACAGACAGCACCACTTCTCTCAGTGGACTAAACTAAACTCCCCTTGAAATTTTGGAGGCTGAAGTTTCAAAGCAGCTGTTTCCTCAATAAAAACAGCACATTCATCAACTTCAGGGTTTTTCACTACAGTACGACACATTCAAAGGGACTTGTCTGGATGTACACCTACTTCAGATAAAAATAAAGACAAAAAGCACATGAGCAGAATCCACCAAAGACCAAGGTGTGAACGAGAGAACAGTTTTTTTTATTCCACCCAGAGGAAGATGGAAGGGAGGGAGGGAGGGATGTTGGCATTCTCTCAGGTAACAGCAGAAGTCCTGGCAGCAGAAGTCCATCTGCAGAGGCCTTCCACTTAGGAAACTGCATCATCCTACACAGGGCTATTCATAGCACACTAGCCAGGGAGACGAGAGCATTACAGTGGAGCTTTACGCACTCTGTCTCGCTCACTCTAGCTGATGAGAAGGAGTGGGCGTATGAGAGAGATGGATGGAGGGCCAAAGTAAAAGTTTAAAAGCAAGATATCAGTGTCATAACCAGGCGCCATGCTACAATTAGTGAGGTGACAATATTGCTGCCATATTTGAAGATTAATATACAGTTATGTGAATCTGAATCTGAGATTGCAAAACAAACGAAAATCAAAACCATGTAATTGACATGGCGAATGCCCAAAAATTGGCTTATTAATCAGCCTGGTTGGTATATATTGGTCTGTCTGACGTGGTTATTGGATGATGCTGGTAATCACAAAATGGAGAAATATTGACAGAATAATTGGCCTCGGCTGCATTTTCCAAAAACATTGTGAGCCTAAGTAGATCGTAGAGTCCACTGGTAACAATGATTCTAAAATCTATTTAGGCTTCTCTATAAGATACTGTTATCATCCGATACTGATAATCTCAAAGTTACCAAATATTGGCCGATTAATCGGCCTAGCCAATATATATTTATATATATATTCGTCTGTCGGACACTGTTATCGCCAGAATGGCCAATTATCAGCAGATTAACTGGCCTTGCTGATATATCAGTCGATCACTAGTTAGGACACAGATAATACAACTCAATGTGAATTAGATTGTCAGAGTGTGTATGATCAGGGCCGACTCACTTTATGGTGAGGAGAGCAACAGGCCTCCATGAGAACAAAGAGTGCTATCTGCAGGAGGCAGGAAAGAGGGGGTTGACCCATAGCGAGACAGATAAAGACTGAAGCTTTATCAGGAGCTGAGCACTCCAGCAAAAGAAACACCCAGTCAGCTCCCTCTCTCTCTCTCTCTCTCTCTCACACAGAAACCTCCCTCCCCTCTGCACTACTCCCCTCTCACCCGCCAACAGCATCCCACAATGCATTGCAGGAGCTTAAAGAGGGAAAATGGCCTCGTCTGATTGGATAGCATCCAAGCAGCCGGCGGGGGGGTTGTAATAGGAAGTTGAGGCCCAAATCATAACGTCTCACCGACAATGGTCATGATATGCTATCAGAGTTGAGCATGTTGGGAATTTTCCAATGAGATGTTATCAGTGTTTTTTTCCTCCAGTTCGGCACTGTCAATTTCTCAGAAGAGATCAGTCACACTTTCCTTAAATGACTGTACTTTTTCACAAGCACAGGGAAACAATCGCACATCCTTTTTTTTTTTTACTGTTACGGAGCACTGATACATCAGTGTGTCCACTTATTACCTCAATGAACAGCTGCTTTCAAACTTAACTCAATAAAAACGGGGCTTTAGGCATTACTACTCGATTTGTACATATTCATACATATCAATTGAACAATGAATTTGCCGTCCTTTGTTGCTTCAGCCTCCGAGGATGAAGGGACACCATGAGAAACTGTCGACCGGGGCCTTACTCGCTCAGGCGAAAGGCATACAAGACCCTCCAGGAACTGAGGCACCACTATCAAAACTATTGTGGTGCCGCCTCATTCACGGTCTCACTTTCCCACACGGGCAATGTTCCTAAAGTGACACTTTAATATTCATTTAATAACTTTTCTGTAACAGTTTTTCACTTTATATTCATAAGCTCATTAGTCAAAACCAGCCATCTTGTCTTTTCTCGTCTCATATTATCTTGCACGTTTTCCTTGCACACCCTCCATGCCCAGTGCGGGGAGACCAGCATCAGAGCCACCCAGCTGGACGAGCGCTCCGGGGTTTGAGGAGCAGGTGGGGAGGCCTGTGAATGCCAGGCCTTGTCCCCCCTTTATCCTTCCTAACAGTCCCCCATCCCCCTCCCAGGGCCTCTCTCATAGCCCGCAAAAAAAACAAAAAAAACACATAATCATGGCTTTCAGCTAAAGAAAACAGCCCTAATCAAAATAAACAGTGCCACGGCGGCATTATTTCTGCAATAAACCCACCCGTAAAGCCGTCTAGCTGGGGTTGCACACTCCCCTCGCCCCGACAGTTATTTCAGATGCGACGTCAACCATCGCCATCGCGACGTTGCCAACTTTAGCGTATTTCTCCTCCAGAATTTCACATCAGCTTTACTTCCAAAGAAAGCTGGCCACATATGTTCACTGTGTGCAAGAATCTTTACTCATTTGTAGACATTTTATATTAGTATCTGTTCAACCGCCCTTGATTGTATCTGCAAATTCCCCCAACTGCCGGTTAGGAGAGGGTATTTCAGGAAATACAAGGGCGGAATAAGGCCGGTCTGAACCAACCTCTTCTTCATTAGTACTTCTCAAACCCGGTTAAACATGTTGGGTATCGTTCAGTGAACCTCGAAAACCCGAAACCTGCAGGCAGCAGAAGTCTCTCGCATTTGGGTACTGGTTAGATAGAGTATACACGACTAAATATATATTTTTTTCCTTATAATATTTACTGAAAAAATGTATTTTCTCAATGGAAATTCAGTCAGCCCGGGTTAGTGTGAATTACATGTCAAACCGAACACGTGTGCTTATGTTTCTGTATTTTTCACTGTACCGATACTACTTGAATGCGAAGCAAGACCATTGAACACAGGTGGAAACATGTCTAGGTCATGACAAGTCAAACTGTACCTGCTACGTTTCTCGGCTTACAACCCATGGATGTACTCATTTCCCTTTATTTGTTATATTTCTGCATTGTGGTGTAATTTTTCTGATTTTCTTTGTGTTCAGATCTTAGCTGTTATTATTATTATAACTGATATTTCTTGCGAAGTTTGTTAGTGTTTCATAAGGCTTTCTTTTCGGTCTGTTGCAACGATGCTAGTAAAATTGGACACTGAAAGACACTGAAAGCTCTTTGTCAGGAGCAGGATATAGGTGTATAACCACCAAATTCAGAAACATGGAGGGTAAAAGGTGGTTTTAGTTGAAAAAAAAGGGAAATATCCTGACTTCTCAAAAGCATTGCGTGAGACTGAGTGCGATTCGCACAATCAAGTTCGATATCGCATTACCATAGAGACCACAGCATTGTGAGTAGATAGTCACATTCATGTTTTATTGTTTTCTTTGTTATTTAACGTTAGAATTCCACATATATGTGTTAATTTTTTTTCTGTCATGTATCTTTTCAAACTCATACCTCTAAAAAAAATCAAGAAGGTTATGAAAATGATTTTTTTTTTTTTGATGGGGTGGGGTAGGGGAATTCATATCTGAAAGAATTGTAAATTTAAAACAATATTTTTTATGAATTATCAGGGTCTTATGAGCCACAGAGCATCATATTGAAAGCGAATCATCTTTCGTGTAACTCATTTTACCAGTGGATTGCATAAACCCACACTCCCGACTCATCCAGAAACGATTTGTTTTGTATAAGGCTATTTGTTCACAAAATCCAACTAATGATTTTGATTGCATTTGAATCCTACATTCAACAAACTGCATGTTAGTTCTATAAAATGTGCCAAAGGCATTAGAAGGGTGATTTTATTTGATCATATACAGTGATAGTCAAGATAAAAATGACCTTGTACAGTTTTCTAAGAGTGATGTACGTTTTTATGTGTATGTAGCGGGGTGAATGATGTTTTTAGATTCGCAAGTATTTCTAATTTTCCCCCTTTGCCGTGATCTCGATGTAGTTTTTGTTTCCTTTAGTTGTTTTTCTTCATTTGTCATTGTTGTACAGAACAAATGCACATATTAGTAAAAGTGAAAACTCAGAAATTAACCTGTCCACCATCCTATGTGAAAGCTCGACCATTCCAAAGGATTGCAATTACATTTGCTATAAATATGCTGCTTAGTTATATCCAACCAATGCATCAAAGCTTAATTTCTTTATGTATTTATTTTGCAATTACTCTTTTTGACTGTGATGTATTACATGACTTTTGTTACTATAGTTCAATTTGGTACTTAACTTTTTTCCTCTTTGCTGTCCTTCTGACATTTATTTGTCTGTAAACTGCTACATACTCTCTTTACCGAAAGAAACAGCCATGTTCTGATACATTAAACAGAACCCTTGACCCTCTCAGAATAGAGAACAGACAAGATGGCTTCCATACAAGTGTGCAGTTATCAGTTCCAATATTGTCTTCCCATGCAAAATAAGGTCAGTTTGAATAACTGATGTTCTCAGTGCTGAAGGAGGATGACGTTTTACTTTAAAGAGCTGTAGGATGCGATTGCCAAGGATGCTGTAGTGCCACGACATGTAATTTCGCCCTCACTTTTGGCATTGGGTGCATTGGAAGTCTCTTATTGAATTATTGTTTTAAAGACGTTACCAAAGGCTTCAGGATCGAAGTAATGAATGTTCATGCCGCGTTAGTTGGAAAGTTTCCGAAGAATATTTGTTTTGCTGACAGATTCTAAACAAAAGATGAATGCACCCTAAACTCATTTTTAGTGGAATCAATCAAACTAGGCTGTTTTCAACATGGATATGCAAAATCAACTATGTTCGACTTGGTTAACCGTTATTTACACATTCTAAGCCATTGGAAAGGCTTTTTTGATTTAATATAGTCCCAAGGAATACATATCTGGGAATAAATCCACATACAAAACAACTGTACAGCATTGTCTTTATAGTCCCACCGTGCAGTCAAAGATCTCGTACTGTTGAAAGTTACACTGTGTTTTTGCAGTTAGATGTTTCTCCAAAGAACCTATGGATGTTTAAATGCCATTTAGTGATTGTGTATCCAGGTTAACAAAGCTTCAGACATTGACACGCTTCGGGAATCACTAGACAGTGAGCGTAACTTCAGAAATGGATATTTACGATGCCATGGGCTGAAAAGTTTAGGTCTGCGTAATGGTAACCTAATGGTGGATGTGGATTGAAGTCTTAGCCGTGGCTTAGTTTCGACTGTTGTTTATGTTTCGTCTCTTGCTCCGCTCAGGAGACACTAACTGCTTTTGAGGGCTGTGGTCATTTCTGTTAGTCTGGTCGTCTGCCAAATCGTGTGGTTGGGTTCGCACAACCTCACGCCTGTAAAAAGCGAAGGGCGCCCATTTGACTCTGATCCCCAGGTGTGGTGACCAAACTACCCTAATTTGGGGAGAATCATGCAGACGACCCCCTACCGAACACCGAAACTCATTTCAAATTAATACGCCAACATTTCCCATATGATTAAACCCCGGTCTGAAAATAAGACACTGTGAAAGAGCCATCTGAAAGACTGAACGAATTCTCGCTTCCATTTGACTTTTTTCTCCGACACCTGTGAAATCATGTGTTCGTTGTTCCCGATATGGGAACGAAATTATTTCAAATTCCTCCCTCTTCATACATAGCAGTTAAGCACATCGTGTGCTAACACTCTCCTATTGTAGAGATTTCAATAAATGTTGTATATTGAATCGTAATGAGGCACTAGCGGCCTCATGCTGTCCTGTAGACGTTCGCCGCGTGAACTCGACTTGCCTTCCTATTGTACGTATTCGTCTGTATTTTAACAATCTCTTTTAACGACACCGTGTGATGCCTGCTCCAGTGACTACATTGCGCTGGGTTTCTATTTCCCAGCACCTCTGTACTTTGTACAATAGCTCTTCTTTAGCAATGGCCAGTTCTGTTCTCCATAACCTCATTCAAGACAACTGCCGCATAATGAAACTATTTTTGATTTTATTTTGATTTGCAATCAACCAAATCACTACAGTGAAGTATTACAGTTGTACAGTTCCTTGAATTAATCAGATTATATTATTGTTGCTGGTCTATGGTTGCTCTGCTGTATCTTTTTATGACCTTTTTTTTTTACATGTTAGACAATATTGTGACTATGTCCTATGCAAATATGAGAATTAACAAGAATTTGTCAAATAATGTATGTTGTCTGTCTTAACTTGTATGCATGAAATAGTGAAGTTTACATTTGAGAATAAATTCATAAATAAGAAGCATTACTAGGATTGTCTCGTTTTTTTGTTTACCAAGTGTATTTTTTAAATTGATTTTGTACAATATAGATTTAATTTTAATGTTTAAGCATAGATGTGCACAGCTATTTAACATTTTAAAATAAATATAATATTTACATATTTAAAAAAAATAGTAATACAAAAATCTGTAATTGAATCCAAGCATTACATTAATTTGAATAAATTATTATAATATATATTTTTAAATGTAATATGTTATTATAAAATGTTTTATATATTAAATATATATTTAAATTGTATATATATATATATATATATATATATATATATTAAATCTCCAGTTTTGTTTAATTTATCAGCTATTTTTCAGAGCTTATTTTATAGATTATTTTCAGCTCATATTTAAATCTATAAAATGTCATATTTTTAAAATACATTTAAAAATAAAATTTAAATGATTTTATAATTTTATTTCATTTAAAGAAATGTATCTTTCATGTTAATGCATGCATTTATTTATTTGATTTATTTTATTACCCATATAAAACTGGATATTTTACAGCCAGCCTGTTATTATCGCATTTAAACCTGGATAGGATGATATAAGGGTATGATATCATACATAATTTTTTTTTTTTTTAAGTCAAAGTATTTTATCAAAGTTATCCCAATTAAGGCTAGAAAAATCCATCAAACTATAATGACTTGCTTATTTGTATGCTCAGTAGGCCTAACTTCAATACAGGCTGTACTCCTTAAAGATACCCTTGACATGCACTGTATTTGGCAGCCCTGAGCGCACTGCAGTCCCTGGCTCTGAATTTCAAAAGCTCTGGCATGAAGAGCACAATTCTAGGCAGACTTAGCATCACATATTCACCGAACCCTTTAGTGCACAGCCAATGGCTGCACTTGTTGCTCAGCAGGATGCCAGTAAGAACCAAGAACAGAGAGATGCCTGTTGTGTAGAACGATGCGCTCAGATACGTCCGTCTGCAGGAAGAAGCCTACAGTGTTTTTGACATTTGTGCACTCATGCAAATATTTACTGTAACTGATGCAGGGACATGTCAACAGAGACCACAAAACAGGTGGCATTTGTGTGTTCTTGTCATTTGCAACACTGAACAAGGCCGGTGTTGAATATAGAGGGTCAAGATGGTGAGATATCAAAAGAGCAATGTGCCTGGAACATGTGCGCTGCATCATACCCTATGTGTGTAAAGTCATATATTTCTCACAACTGAAAATCTGGACCATTGGAATATCAAATAAGGGCTGATTCAAAACTAGAGAATGAGTGGCCCACATTTTGTCCCACTCAGTTATGTAATGAGCAACACTTTATAAATTCACAACCACCCACACTGAGCGGCCTTAACTTTTCTGGTTATTCTCATTTTCAAGCTTCTTAAGCAGAATGAAAATGCTAAAAATATGCTGAGAGAAGACCAGTGTGTTCTGCTCACCTCCTGTCGCTCTGTCTGTCCATGAGTAGGGTTGCCACCTGTCCCGGTTTTACCGGGATTGTCCTTCTTTTTAATAACCTGTCCCGGGAAATTTACGCACTCTCCCGGGACACTGAATGTCCCGGTTTTCGAAAGGCTACGTGAATATGTATGTTCAAACTGTGTAGCGCGCGCAACGGCAGAGAGCGAGAGACCTTGCGTGTGTGTGCTAGTGTGAGTCGAGTCTGCCTCAAGAAGCGCATAAGAAGCGCATGTAATCTGAGTGTGGAGCGCGCTTGCTGCACGAGGCGCGGGCGCGAGCACTTCCGTTTTTCTATCAACAGTGGAAACAACTTAAAATAGGCCTACTACTCTATCATTTCTGGTCATAGAAAATAAACATCATTCGCAACAATACATCATTCGCAACTACTTTTATTTGTGTAAACTCACAATAACAAGAAAACGTTGTGCTTTTGTAAAATAAAATAAAACAATCAGTCGCGCTCTTTTATGGTCTCCGTGAACTGGATCGCGTCTCAAAATAAACAAGCCCATAGGCTAAAGCTTGAAATGTCCACTTTTAAACGAACAAATTCGAATCAAAAGAAAATACAGTCTGATTATGTAATCCATATGAATTTCTTCTCTAAAGGCGCATCTGCTTTACAGCGGAGATGGAGATATGTTGCAGCCGATTTAGAAAATACTAGTTTATTAATAAACAATTAAAATGCCTCGTTACTTTTTCAGAAACATTTATAATAGCCTATAAATCATCTATAGCCTTAGAAATATAGTGTTTGGCCTTAGAAAACCATTTTATCCATATAATTTGTGAATATTTTAAATGCTTATTAAAGGGGCAAAAAAAAAATCATGAACAAAAATCTGAAAATACGCGAATATAGGATATATTTTTGCGCAGCATTTGGTGTATAGGCGGGCCTACAGTTAAAATTTAAATTTTGGTGTTCAACCGTTCATTTTTGGTCTTCAAACACCCCTCTCTCCCCCCCCCAAACCCCCCCCCCCCTCATTTGGGCGGGTAATATGTCCCGGTTTTTTATCAGACATAGGTGGCAACCCTATCCATGAGACACTTGTGCTTTCTCCTACTTTATCCCTCTTTCTATATCAGAGACACAAACTTAGTTTCACACTCTCCTACTTCTGTGAATTAAAACTGTTTTTGATCTAAAACTTTTGAACGGCGGAAGTGTACGTGTGTGTGCGCGCGCGCGCGTTCACGAGAGCACCACGACGCATGCGTGTTGTGAGGACGCGAGAGCAAGGCTGCGTTTAACTACACTCGCAAACTTCCCTTTATATAATACATGTTATTCTTTTAATGGCAAAATTCGTGTTCACAAATGTTAATTTTCTTGTAAAAAAGAAAGAAAGAAAGAAATGGAGCTTTATATCGACTCAATTCGATTTTCTATGAAGCAAAAAGCAGTGAAAAAGACAGTTAATGTCTTTATGAATATCTACATTAAACCCCGTAGTGTGCAACCAGGGGCGTCATGCAAGCCAAAATTCTGGGGGGGCACAATCTGAGACGTTGCAATTGTTTTCTAACGGGTGATATGGATCATGTTAGGAGGGGTCAGGGGGCTTCTCCCCCTGAAAATTTTTAAATTCTGGCTGCTAAACATACCATTTCAATGCAGTTTGGGAGGGACAGAAATACCTTAACGGAGCTAGCAGCAACACATCTGATTCTGAGGACTAAGTTAAAGTATCTATTTTGTAAGTTTATGTAAAAGACAGGTTGATGAAAGAACTGTAAGCTCAAATTCAAAAGCTTTTGAAGTCTACTTCATTAAAGCATGTTTACACACACACACACACTTACTGTACACTTAGGCCTACTACACATGATTTTAAAAACAGTACCATTGCAGTTTTTATGTTATGATTTTAAATTGGTATGTGACCAAGAACGATCTTACATTAAAGGTAGCCTACATACAGGTGCTGAGGTCTGACTTTGTGGTGCTCTGAAATTAAGTTATTTTAATATTAATATGTGATGAAGGACTTTGAAAGAAGTTTGACAGATTTCAGTGCTGAATGGTTAACACTACCCCGTTTATTTGAAAATGGTTAATATTTGACAGAAATGTAAAAAAGTAATCAAATCAAATGCAATATGTATAGCGATCTGTATAACAACTATGCTGTAGGGATTTGGGGGGTAGTCCTACTATGATATTAGACTACATTAAAAGGTAATGAATTTGAAATGAACCTGAACCAAAACATATTTTTTAATTCAAAGATTAAAGTCTGTCATTAGTCTTTAGTCAGCCAAAAAACAAAACCCATTAAAATCATGAACTCAAATGTCATTGTGAAAAAAAATGTGTTACTGTTGTAACAGTGTGTAGGCTAAATCAGACCTTTCAGGCTATAGCCTAACGCTAATAAGCCTTATGGCAAAATTATTATTACAACTAAATTGTCGGTCATTAAATAGGAAAACTAAATCATTTTGTAGATGATTTGCTTTGTGTAGGCCTAACCCGACATCAGACATTATAAGGCCCGGACGAAGTTTTTTTTTGCACACAGTGACGCGACCAATCAATCACTCCTTTAATGCTGCGTTCACACCAGACGCGAATAGCGCGTCAAATTCGCGCCTACCGCGTCTAGTTATAGCCTACGCGTGAACACTTTGAATCCATTCGCGCGTCAAGAGCAAATGACGCGCGTAAAAAAACTAAAGTTTAGACGGACAGTTTTCAATATTTTATATCAAGATTTTGCTTTAGTATATTTTTCGGGACTTCTGGTCACACTAAGGAGGGAAAATCTGAGGGGGCACGTACCCCCTCACTTTGAATGGGCATGACGCCACTGTGTGCAACTCTGTTACATGTGTTATATTTTCTTGTAGCCTACTGTAGAATTTGTAACATAGGCCTACTCTTCTTTTTTTGTTAATTAAAACAGTTGCAATAAAAATAAAAAACCCCCGCAAACTTAAAATACTTCCCCTCGGTGGAATTCCCGCCACCATTTTGAAGTGTGTTTACCTTGGTGGAGAAGGGGAGTTTATTTGGACAGACCCTCGATGCCTCGATTTTGAGTATTTTTGAGAATATGACACACTTCAGGCAGATCAATAGACCACAACGCAACATGATTGTGACCTCACTGCAGATCGTGCTTAATTTACCCCCAACCCACACAACTCTAGTGTATGAGATTGGAGTTATCTGGACATTTAACCACATTTAATACTTGAAGCTACGTTGACTGTTATAGTTTACTGTATTGTTATCATTTTCACCCTAAGCATAAATACAGGCCTATAGAATGGTGTGTAAAACAAATTCATGAGAAAAAAGATTCCATTTAAACACATTTCAAAGGTTCCGCCAGTAGTGCACTTGCGCAACGTAAGCAATGACATAGCTACATCCAACGGAACAAGATGGAGGGAAGTTTGTGAGGGAAGGGCATAAAAATGTACTTAAGCACAGCCCTGATGTTGTTGCGTAAAAGCGTGTTGGAGATTAATATTTTGTAAAGTGGTAGATTATGTTTTTTTGCACAAACAAAGCACTCGCGTCGCTTCATAAAATTGAGGTTAAACAACTGGAGTCACATGGGTTACT